GGGAACTGGAGCCTTTTTATGGGGAGAAGTCGGACCCTCCTCGGCGGTCAGCTAAAGGCTGGCGGCCAAGGACGGGGCTGGCCCTACTCGGGACGGACGGCTTTAGCCGGAAGATGAGAGGGAGCAATGAATTTGCAGATTTCTCGGGCGCCGGAGGTGCCGGCCACCTGGAGCGACCTGCCCCTGCCCCCCGAGCTGGAAGGCGTGCTCCGCCGGCCGGGCGGAAGCAGAGGGGCGCGGTGTCCTCCCTGTCTCCATTCCCACACCCCTTTGCCGCAGTCCCGGGTCACTGGGCGTCCGGGGCTAACTCCGTGCGTCTTGCTTACGTGTTTATGAAGCTCCAGGGCCCTGCCTCGTGGTATTTACAGCAGTCACGTCGACGGTGGGCTTTAACCTTAACTGCTCAGTGGCAGATACAAGAAGCTGGGGAGGAAGTGTCACATCTCATAAACCACCCGAGTAGCTCGCATTCATCACGGAGGCAGCCAGCGGCGCTGGGCTAAGCAGGGGCGTTCCTGGACCACTTGGGTACAAAGCGCCGAGTCGGTTACTTTTTTATAAACCCTAATGAAGAAAGACAGGCCGGCAGACAGAGGGTGAGATGGAGCGAGGGAGGCGCTCTGTAAGGGAAGACGAGCTGCACGTGGACATGCCCACTGAAGACAGGACAGGGACAGTTTCCACCAGCTGTCTCCAACCACATTCTTTCGGTCTGAATTTAGACTGTCAGCCAATGAGCGAAGACCATTTCCGCTTCCGAATCCCGCAGCCCCGTGACTGTCACTTTAAAAGCGATGCAGCAGTGGGAGGGCGGGCTGGGGAGCTGATGGAGCACTTTCCCAGCTGGAAGCAGTCTCCTGGGGCGGCTCTTTTCCGCTGCAGTTGCTTCAGCCCACGCTTCCTCTGCGGCCCTAAGTCCAGTCGCAGGAAGCTTGTGCTACTCCCTCGCCCCTTCAGTTCGCCCATCAGGTGTCTCTCCCTGCTTCTGTTTGGTCGAGTTTTCCTCTTCGAGTAATAGACACAGCGCCCTTCCTCTCACTGGTCACATCACGTTTCTTGGGAACTCACCGCGCTGCCCAGGGCTGACCTCTCAAGGTCTCTCCCAGCCCCGCCATGGCCGTGCGCTCCTCCGCCCAGGCCCTTGCCTACGTTCGTTGCACAAATATTCTTCCATTAGTGTATAGATACTGAGCTCCAAGAAGACTGAGGCCTTGCTTTCTGGAGACACGTGGTGTAACTGGCTTAATAACACCTGCCTTGGAAGACTGACGTTAGGAATAAAACAAAAAATGCACGTGAAACAGGCAGCACACAATAGACACTTAAGACAGAGTAGCTATTATGACACTATTCCTAATATTGGTCCGTGGTTTTCATCTTCCCGGGGCGTAGTCAGCAAATACTATTACTGATTTGAACCACAAAGCTCTCTTAGGCTATCTCTTCCCAATATTTAATCCCTCTGGTTTTCCCTTCTTCCAGTTTGTCATCTGTCTTTCCTGCTGATAATTCAGTACTTAGACCCAAATAGGAATAAATTGACAAGGGAAGTGAAGAGAGATACGGGGAGGAATGCAGCCTAGGTGTAGGGGGGTCAGCAAATCTGGACCTGGCTTCCCCCACCCTCATCCCTCCCTGCAATTTCTATTTCGAGTCTTCCCTCGTAGCCCTGCTGAGCTGCTGCAAAGATCTGTTTGGGACGCGTGTATGTAAAAAGAGCCTGGAAGCTATCAAATCTCTCCAAATCTAAGGTGATCATTTGGAAAAAGTGCTCTGACCACCTCCTCTGCTTAGTTCATCAGCATGTATCTCCTCTTTGAACCCACCCCCCACAAATGCATACCAACCCAGAGCCCTTTCACTCCTTTCCTGGAGCAATCAGGGAGCTAGGGCTCAGTCCTTCCACCTCCATTTCCCACTTCTCTCCACCCAACAACCCTGCAGTCTTTTGGTGGGCTTTTGTGTGGGAACTAAGGAGGGAGGTGGAGGGGAGGGGTCTGGGAGGTTGAAGTCTGTTCCCAGTCTGACCCCACCTACTAGACTTAGCTTCAATGGGAAGAGCACAGAACTGCCGAAGCCACCCTTCTTCATCAATGACTCACTGGGCTCTGGACACACTCTACTGTGTGCTTTTGTGCTTTATTTTCTTAATCCTCAAAACTACCTTATGAGGTAGGTATCATTATTACCCTATGTTATACCAGAGGAAACTAGCTTATAAAGGTTAGTAACATTCCTAGTGTCATGGTGCTCATAAGTGCTGGGGCCAAGTCCATAGACCTCAGACCCCAATCATGCAGAGCCCCAGCTGCCCTCTGTTACAATGTTTCCATAAAATAAATATTGAGAAATAGCATGTTTCCATAAAATAAATGTGTAGAAATAAATAGCTTATATACGTGTATAACAAACCAGTTAAAAGACATAATGAAGGAACAAAGACCACACTTAAAACAGGAAAAGGAAGATAAGCTTCCTAGGCATAAAATTAACAAAAATGTGCACAATCTACATGGAGATACGTGTTTAAAGCTCCGCAGGGACACAAGAGAAAACGTGAACAACTGGAAAGCCACACAATGTGGGGCAGGAAAACTCCATTTCCTCAATATGCAATCATTCCTAAATTAATCTAAAAACTTAACATCATCACAATAAAAACACCAAGTTGTTTTTTTTTTAACTAGAAGCACTGGTGCTAATGTTAATACAGTTAATATAAATTAACAAAAAATGTTTGAAGTTGACAAGAAAAATAAGAGGGTAATTAACCATACAATATTTTAAATATTTTAAAGCTACACTAATTAAAACAGAGCAGTATTATCCTCTGACTGCTTCATTTTAGCATATGAATAAAGAGATAAAGCAATAACACAGAATAGAAATTACAGAAATAGAGCCAAATACATATTGGAATTTAATACATGATAGTGGGGGGAAATGAACTATTGAGTAGTTTTGAAACAACTGAATAGACAACTGGGGAAAATTAGTATCTATTATTCACACTCTAAATGGAGCAAATATTTAAATATAAAAGATAAAACCATAAAAAGTACTAGAAGAAATAATGGAAGAATTCCTTTATAATCTGAGTTGTGAAGGCCTTACTAATTGTGTCACAGAATTGAAACGTCTAAAAGAGAATAATAAATTCAAGCACAAATAAAACATTTGTTTAACTACATGGGGAAAAACACAAATTCAAAATGACAAAATAGAAAAAAAATGGGCATCTCATATCAAGATAAAGGACTGATTTCTCTAATATATAAAGAGCTCCTACAAATCAATAAGAAAAATATGACCTCTGGTTTCCAGTCTGACACACAGAGCTTGGAAGTCTCCTCTTCTCCCAAAAGAAAAAAAGTTGAACAAACTGAAAGTCGGCAACTCTTAGAGTTATCAAACAGCTGAGGTCATGGGGCAAACTGCTGCTCTGGAACCTGGAGAGACAGGCAGACAGACAGATATACAGAGAATCACAGCTTACTGGAACAAAAGCCCACAGCTGGAACCAGTATCAGGGGGAACACTTCAACCATAATTGATGAATTGCTGGGGGCTCAGGGTGGACAAGCTTGAGAGTCAAAAGCTCAGAAGACCCCCAGTCCTAGAAGGGCCCCCACACTGTCCTGAGATTTACCTCCAGGAGCCCTGCCAGGTTCCCACTCAGGAGACCTGGGAAAAGTCCCCTCTTGCTTCCTTCAGGAAGATGGGGAAAGTAACTGTTCTGAAACATGCCCAGAGTTCTCTGTTCTCCTGAACGAAGCCTGCCTTCAAGCGAAAGTGTTTTACCAGCATCTAAGCAAACTGTGGGGAGGGAAACATCCAACTCCAGCCTCCTCTAGCCTTCAGTGTGGGGGAAGGGAGACATCCAACTCAGGCTCAATAAAAGACTGAGACCTAGTCATAGGGTGATAGAATATCTCCCCTGCCCC